GCACGTATGGTAGGTGCTTCCGTAAGCAAGGTAGCCGAGGTGTTTAGTGTTTCAAGAGGTACTGTATCGAAGATTTATTCCGCATATTTGAAAAGCGGAAAAACATCATCTGCTAAATCACAGCGCGGATGAAAGTGTGTTCTGAGTGATCGTGACAGACGAGGCACGCAATTGTGACGAAAAGGGCAATTGTGACGAAAAATAAGAAGACCACAGCTGCAAAAGTTACTGCTGAAATGAATGTTGTGTTACCGAACCCGGTGAGTACCAAAACAATTAGAAGGGAGCTTCATAAAGAGGGAATTGCTGGCCGTGCTGCAGTTGAGAAGCCACTCATCAGTGATGCTAATGCCTGTAACAGGAAAAGGTGGTGTTTAAATCATAAAGCCTGGACTATAGAGCAGTGGAAGCGAGTAATATGGTCTGACGAGTCTTCTTTCAGATTGTTTCCCACTTCTGGGCGAGTTTACGTCTGGAGAACGCCATCTCAAGCCTATAATACAGACTGCTTGTTGCCAAGAGTGAAACATGGCGGGGGTTCTGTTATGGTTTGGGCAGCCATATCGTGGTTCTCTGCTAGCCCCATGATAACTGTGTCAGGGCACATGACTGCCAAGACTTATGTGAACATTTTGGCCGATCAAGTTCATCCCATGGTACAAACTTTGTTCCCCGATAGTGATGGTGTCTTCCAAGACGACAAAGCCCCTGTTCACACAGCTCACATTGTCCAGGACTGGTTTTCTGAGCACGAGGATGAGTTGTCCCATCTTCCCTGGCCACCACAGTCCCCAGACCTGAATATTATCGAACCTTTGTGGTCTACATTGGAACGGTGTGTGTGTGTGTGTGTGTGTTTGTGAGTATGGCAAAGCCTCGAGGGCTATCTGCCTAAGAGGAGGGATGCCTTCGTGGAGGACTTTCTAAGGCAAACTGGCTCGTATACACGTTACACATGGGGAAAACCACGAAAACGCCCATGCAGCCAGCCCGTTTCCCGAGATTCGAACCTCGGAACGAACTATCAGTGTTCAGCTACTTTACCGCTCGGCCGCTGGTGGGCATTGGAACGGAAAGTGCGTTCTCGTTATCCACCGCCAACATCGTTATCTGAACTTGCCAACATTTTGCAGAAAGAATGGTATAATATTCCCTTGGCAAACATACAGGAACTGTATTTATCCATTCCGAGAATACTGCAAACTGTTTTGGATGCCAACGGGTTTCCTACACCATGTTAAGCAAATAAACGTGTTTTTTAAAAGGTGTTTCCATATTTTTGTCCAACCCCTGTATATTTCCGCTACGCGGGAGTGGACGCCGAAAAGAACATTTCTAAGAATCCGCGCATTTGCACGAACCCACGTAGTTAGATTACCATTTTCACTTACTACAAAGGCTTGAACGCCAAACAGTAATCGATTATCGCTCATATTGGGATCACGTGATCCTTCAGAAGAAGAACTTTCGTATGTGCAGCCATAATGAGTGGTCAACATTAGGAGTTTTCAAAAAGAATAAAGGATGTAGCTCCTAGTGTAGAATATGTACACTAAGCTGCGCACAATTTGAATTTAAGAGCTATTTTAGAAACTGGTTGTTCAGCCTACATTGTACACAGTTCAGTAGAAAATACATACGATTCTCTACCCCTGGACATAGAAGTTATTGCTGTAAAAAAATTATAAATAATTTCGAATATATACAGTAAGAGAAACGAAACTTAAAGAGCTCTATGAATTTGTTTAAGCCGATTAAAAACGTATTATCTCACAGCACAAGGTTTCTTAGTTTGTTATTCGCAATAGAAAGATTTCTTTCCGTTTTGGATGGTTTAAAATCATATTTCTGATCTTGTTGACAAATGTCCCAGAATTATTATTTGATTTTTCTAAATCTAAATGTGAACTTTCTGGAATTTTTTTTATGATAATCTACAGTTATTTAATAATACAGCTCCGAAATTGGGAACTAATTATATCGCAGCTACAGAAAATTTCAGACATACTCTGAATTAATTTGTTAACTTCAGGAAAGAAAACCCCACAAACTTGTACCATCTCCTGCCAAAGAACTACAATGCACTCTAACAGAAAATAATGGAGTTCAGGAAGGAAAATTTTTCTCAAGTGTAGATAATTTTTATAATTCTAGTATTAAATACTTAGTATTATGGAAAACCAGTTTTGATTAATTTAATAAGTTTCAGTAAATTTACTAACGAAAATTTCCTGGTCTGATTTAGAAAAGAGTGCATAAGTTGTTAATGAAATTACAAAAGTTTCCATACATATTGATGACCTATTACTATTTGATGAACGTACATCAAATCATTGGATTAACATTGAACCAGGTAATTCAAAACCAAAGAGTAGTTTGTGGTTCAAGTTCTGAAAAAGAACCGGATACTATTGAAGAGAAGTAGAAAACAATTTTTAAGGTTTTTCAAGATACTGATATTTCATGTTGCAATATTTCTAAAATAGTTGAGTTTGCGAAGTCTTTGCTTGGGAAATCAGCTCCAATTGAGAGAGTGGTGTTTACAATTATGGGTAACATTTGCCCTGCAGAAAGGAGTAGACTTTCAATACCTACTGTTAAACATCTGCTAAATGCTAAAATTAATTCAGAACTTTGTTATGAATCTTATGGTGTAATTAAAACAAACAAACCGTTTCTAAACAAAGTCATATCTAGTGAAAAATACAACTAAATAAATAAAGTTTGTTTCAGTAAACTGTTAAGACTTGTTGTTGTCAGACTTGCCATGTTCGCAAGTGTTTATGCTATAGATTTTATAATTTTGAATCTATCGATATCTAAATTGTAAAGAGAGCTCAGTTAGATGGGTAAAATCACTTCTACCGAGTTTGATGATAATTTTGTCACCAACTTTGTGAAGTTCTGGAACTTTCTGGAAAACGAATTTTAAACACCATAGGAACATTTGTTTCTTTAAGTAATTCATTCATTATAGTAATAGTAGTTCATTATAGTCATTATAGTTCATGTATTAGTTCATTACAGTTGCTTTTTTCATTATAGTAAGCCTATCGATGAGAGCTTGAAGAAATTTATTTTCCCAAAAGAAACACTTTACAGTTCTGAAACGTTTCACAAAAGTACTTTTCTCAGTATGGCAGGAAGCAATCAGTAGTTACCTCTTCAAACTACTATTAACGTTAAATATAAGATACTAAGACCCTCAAATACGTAAATACGCACAGTTATATCTCAGTACCCTCAACATTCTAAACTCAGTTCTGAACTGAACTGAGAACTGATGGTCTCTCCAATCAGTTTTACCCTATTCGCCGAGAAATTTACGGTACATTCGATTTCTTGAAATTGTTGAAAGGCATATACTGGAATAGTCACATAGAGACGGATACTGTTATAGTTGCATAAGGATAGGACCAGTTAGAGTTGTATAGAGATAGGGCCAAAATGTCTCCAAATAGTTGACGACCATGTTTGACGACTTTTAGCAAAATAAATTAATCGTGAAAACCATCGCCAACTTGGTGCTATCTCGCCAGCAGTTTACCTCAGTGTTAAATGTATTTGCCTTTGTAACCTTATTTTTCTGGCCATGATTCGATCCTTCACTTCAGAGCCATTAAGTTTATTTCGAAAAAAGGGACATAAAAGATCAGCAGCATTCTTTCTGAAATTCGAACTTCGAATCATCCGATTGCAAGTCGGAAGTACTTCCAATTACTTCAAGAAGGGGAGCGATAATAAGGAAGAAATTTCCTTACATTCTCTTCCACTTAAAGGGCAAATGGCGAAAAAGAGTACCCAGTCACCATGTTTTAGTGGTGACGAACATATTTTAGTTCTAGTGTCGCTTGTAGAACCACCAGCTTTATTTCGAAGCAAAACATCGGTTAAATGCAATGCCTTCTATTTGATCGGAAATATGATTCCTAACCGAACTTGCTTTCTACACAACGAAAGGAGCGTAAGAAAATTCCTTTACCACATAAACAATATTGAAGAATAATTGTGTAAAGACATTAGACAACAGAGAGAAGATTCGATTCTATCTGCTGAAAGTTATTCTAACTTGTACAGTTACGAAATCTTAAAGACCTGAAGCGATAGTTTGCAAACACTTGTAATTTGTAATTTAAAGATGCCCAAAAAACCATGTTCATTGTACAATAAATTCGGTAAAACCTTTCGAGAAAAATTTAATGAAATTATCATCTTTAATCTTTTAAATCTATATACTGTTTGGATTAGAAAGTTATGATGATTTTTTTTTCAAATTGAAACAATGAATCTGAAAGAGTACAAATTAATATTAGAGGATTCAAATATGGCTGAGCACAAGAGGATTATCCACCGTTGCTCTTAATTTGATTTATTTGCTCAATTTCATTTATTTTTCAATCAGAAACTGTGAATATGGTTAACTTACGAATACTTATATTGTTCATTTAGCGCATATTATGAAATAATTTTAATGTGCATTTTTATTTAATCAAATTTGCGAACATTTGCCATGTTCGCAAGTGTTTATGCTATAAATTTTACAGTTTTGAATCTGTCAACATCTGAATTAAAAAGATAGCTCAGTTAGGTGGGTAAAATCACTTTTACCGAGTTTGATGATAATATTATCACCAACTTTGTAAAGTTCTGGAACTTTCTGGAAAAGAATTTTCAACACCATAGGAACATTTGTTTTTTTGTAGCTTCGAAAAATTTTTGGGCAAACTTCTAGTGTTGCAGATGAGAGTTAGTTCAGTGATACAGTTCAGAATTGTGCGACTGTAATTGAATTTAGACTTCGTTTTGTGAGTGATTTTGTTCATTTGTGATATTCTTTGCGTTTCAATGAAAATTTCTCTTATCTATGTTTTTCCGTGTAAGTTATTCAGAGCTGTTTCAGTTATGACCGCATTTACTCGCGTTTTCATCCTCCACCGACCTTTCATTAATTTTATTGTACGAGAGAATGGGAAACGGCGCAAATAACAATTCAGTCAACAAACTGTGCAGAGAATAATTTAATGAAAATACATAAATTTATTTGTTTTGAAAATACAAAATATGTCATATACAAATATATTAACGTCACTGTTTAATAAATACCGACAGGATATCTCTAGAAAACGGCTTATTTAACGCATCTGCGACTTAACGACGCAAAACCGGTGGTAAAATTATTTCGAATCTCCTCTAATGCAAAATGGAAAATATTCGAGTTTGTAATTAAGTAGCAAGCCATTTTCCTTTTCCTTTAAAGTAAACTTGAAGTGGAATCTCGTCTCTCCAAACTCGACTTTGAAATGATAAAGATTGTTAGGATGAATTTTCTCAGAAATTTTGCAGCTGTGGAATATTGCAGTACTCCAAGAGACATTCTGAATTCCTTACGTTGCTCACTTCAGGGATTTGATTAGTGTTCACGATCTTCTTCACCACACTTTCCATACGCTTGCCATTCAAATTGTACTGTAATTAACAAAAGAATAAACATTAAATCTTATGATCATTAATAACATATAAGAATCAAAGATTATGCTGGAGATAAACATCAAAGATTTGGAAGATAAAAAAGAGGCAGAAAATTCTTTGCAAAAATCTGATTAAGTTTGAATTGCTTTACATAATTAGGATTTTAAAAGTCTCATGTAATGTATGCAAGAGAACAGTTGGCTAAAAATTCTGTTAACTGTTGCTGCAAAGGTGTTCTTAGTTAAAAAGTGAAAATTTTGGAAAATTTAATTTATTAGCAATTAAAATATTAATACATTTTAACGACTTTAAATTTGACAGGAGAAAAATTCAAATGGGTGAGAAAAGTGGTGGACGATTAGATAAAAGAAATTTTGGCAGAATATATCAGAGATATTTAAATCGATGGCAAACAGTAAAGTATTCTCCTTAAACTGTAAGAATACTTTAAAGACACAATAAAAATATCCAGCATAAAGCTACCCATTGAAAAGAACTACGCTGAAAGGACGTTTCACAGCGTTGGGCATTCTGGTCTCCTTAAATGAAATATCTACTCTACATTACCTACCACTAAGTATTTGGACACCATGAAAATGCCGATATCTGAGGTCCTGATATACGTCACGTCTTTCGCCGTTAAATGTCGGGTAGAAACAACATTTGCATCATCTGCATGCAAAATGCCACTGTGCCGAGTTATCTGATTTCGAGAAAGGTGTAATCGTCGGGTATTACAGAAATGGCCGATTCTTAAGCGGCATATGCAGCTAAATCGAGAGTGGCCTATGGGATTAAGAAGTGGAAGGAGGGCGGTGATTATCGGAATGTGCTCCGAGTCGGCAGACCCATAAAACTGGGAAATAGATAACGACGGGTGGCTGTCCAAATAAATTCAGAAGAAGTACACTTAACCGATGGTCTACACATTCCAGGAGTTTCAACAGGCATCCGGGAGTGTTGCTTCAATGAACACCATCCGTATGATAGCACATCTGCTTGGATTTCATGGTCGTGCTGTCACCCCAAAACCTTTGACCATGGAAACCAACCGAGTTCCTCGGTTAGTGTGGTACAAGGCGCGACGATATATATCGTAGGACTATAGATAAATAACTATATAAATACACATCTATAGATACTATATAAACACTTTATAAATGCTATATACTAGCCTTTATAAAGTGTTTATTAAGCAGTTATTTTGATTTCAGCCTCATTTGATCATGAAAACTATATACTAGTATGCTATATACTAGCATTTATATAATACTATACTAGATAAATGCACGACTATAAATAAATGGAAACGGGTTATCTGAAGCGACGAATCAAAGTTCACGTCTACTATTCGAATGGCAGGGACTGGGTTTGGCATCTGTCTGCAGAATGCCTCCTGCCAGAATGTATTGTGCCTATGGTAAAGTTCGGAAGTGGAATTATGGTTTAAGGGTGTTTCGTCTGTGTGGACGGGGGCACTCTTGGTCCAAATTCATGGTCATAGTTCTTATTAATTATATATATAAATTAAATGCATTTCATTCACGAACTATCTAATTATGAATAATTACTATAAGCTACAGTTAGAAATACAAATATTATAAAAAAATGTATAGGGAGAGGAATGCAATTAAAATTCTGATTCAACGTTATCAAGAGGAGGTAGATCAGATTCAACTGAATTCCTACCTCCAAGGAAAACCACTGCGTTTCTGTTCATCCAAAATTAAGTAATGGATCATTCTACATCATTTCATTACAACAGTTCGCCCGAAAATTCTGAACGCCTCTTCTAGGCAGAGGAACTCCAAAAATGAAATAAATATATACAAAAACAAATGCATATGAAAATTCAGTGTCAATAAAGTAAAAGAAATAATTAGACACATTTTACTGAAATCAAAACTCAAATTAATATATAATAATACAAAATATTCATAATGATTAACAGAGAGCTTGATTTCAAAACTCAACCATTCAGGTAACAAAGACAAAAGATAGAAGTTCAAAAGTAGACGCCAATAGTCGCCAGTTTGCCGTTATTGGCGAAAAGAATTGGCGATGGTAAGTTTGAAATCTCCCAAAAAGTGAATTAAAAGCAAATCTTCTTTGCACTGAAGTTTGGGTAGCGTTCTAAGTTAATACTTAGCTTAGATATTTTGTCTTACGAAAAAATCAAACAAAATCCAAATCTTAATGCTGTGAAACTTACAGTGGATTTGGAATAATGGTTTGCAGCAAAAGCTTTCTTCTAAACTCTTAGAACAATCATTAGAATATAAGGATATAGTGGGAGATCAGCAAGAAGAAAATTCTTCGTCAGGATGAAAACAAGGAAAATGCACCAAAATCAATGGTAAGCAAAAATTTACGGTATTAAAGGAATGTTTTGTTTCCAGGCGAGTCACAATTTAATACATGCCCAATGGACGAATGCTGCGTGTTAAAAGCAGATTGAAGAATTGAACCCCCAAAAAATTTTTGTCTACTGTTAAGCAGGAAGATGAGAGTATAATGGTTGGAGGAGGTTTCGCTGCTGTCTGAGATGGGAAATATAACTTTTGTAAAAATAACATAAGGGAATATAAATGTATAAGTATTCTTAATGAAAACCCTGAAAGCAAGTTCAAGAAAATTTGGAGTAAAAAATACATTCATATTCTATCAGGATAACGATCCTAAACACACAGCCCTAAATGTACTCTTGTGGCTATTACACATCTCTCTCGAAGATATCAAAGCTTCTCCATATTCTCCGGACTTAAACCGTATCGAATTTGTATATAGCGAGTTGATAAAAGAGTTGAAAAACATGTCATTTCTTTGAATGCTCTAATAACAGCAATCCTTACAGAACAATATTCTACAACAAAATACTCTTAGATTAAAAAATTAATTGAATCAATGCCAAAGCGTGATTTTTTGCTAAAGGCTATTCAACAAAATGTTGAATGTTCCGTTATTTTCATGTTTTGATTAAATATAACCTGTTTGTTCAAAGTGTCCGAATATTTATGTGAGTTCGTTTTCAGAACTTTTTTAATAAATTGCCATTATTAGTCCAAAGGAGTTTTGTCCCTGAAGGACTATTGTTTTCGTTTTGCGATTTTGCGTTGAATCACTATAAATGTCCGTTTCACTTTTCAAACTGTTGCCACCAGATGTTAGAGTCCTGCATTATATTTGAAGAAATTAAATAATGAAAAATCTGCATAAATGTATGTATATTTCTCGCATTGTGATAAAACAACGGTACGTAGAGCCAAAGAATTTTGAATGACGTAATCCTCCTACGAATATTGGCATGAGGAAGAAATTTCAAATTTGGAATTTGTTTTATTATCGATTTCATCTTTTGTAAAACTTTAACGAATTTTGATTAACAAGCTCAAGGATTTCAAAGCGAGCAATGGCAACACGGAGAAAAAAAAAAACCTTTTTATCTCCAGGGCGCGGAACTGTGTATTGGAAATTCTAAAAATAGGCTCATTTTAAAATTATTTTGTGACATTGCTATTGAACTGAATTTTATGGTTTAAGTGCAAAGAAGATGATATTTAATAAATAAAGAGAACACATAAAACGTTAAAAAACGTCCCTTTGTAATTTAAAATCTGAAACATTTAAGATTTTTTATTTATTTATTTTTTTATCAAAAACGCTTTGAATAACTTTTTTTTCAAAACAAGCCGGTTTTAAAAAAGGTGATTAATAGCAGATGTGAAAAAAAATAAAGTTATTTCTCTAGTAACCGATATTTGCAAATAAAACTGGAAAAAATCAAGTATCCAAAAACAAATCTGAACCACTGTATACTTTCAATGATCTTGTTTGTTCACTGTGATTTAGAAAGTTTAATTTAATTACCACAATATTTTTATGTTCAGTTTATCTTGTACTTTTATTTCTGACGACTCCACCAGAAACACAAATTAGGAAAGTTTTAAATAGCCAGCGAAAACTAAGAAGAGACAACAACTTTGTAAATATCAGCTACTTTGTAGCTCAGAATCAATCAATTTAGTTATTCACACAAGATTCATGTAAATGAACGGAGTCGTGCAAGTGTTGGGCTCTTTCTCTGTGATTATTTCTTCTGATTTTGTTCTGTCAGTGATACTTGTGATCTGAGATATTTCGCACGGATTAAGAAAAATCTGCTTTGCCTCGGGTTTCCTAATTGAGCTGTTCATAGTTGTTTATTTTAGCTGTTTATAGTTGTTTATTTATAGCTGTAAAAACTGTTATTAATTTCAATAAAATGTCATTTTTTACCTGCTCGTACCAAAGAAATCTATATGAACCCTCAGTGAGCAGCGACATAAATTAATAAATATTCCACCATTAAAAAGAAGATAATATAGAAGTGTTTTTACCGGTATGTCTTTTACTTGAATAATAACTCCAGGTATATAGAAGACAGTGAGTTCCTTTAGGATAGTGTCTTCTATTTTCTTAACAATAGAGCTGTTAAATTGGTAACCATTCTTCATCTTGACGAAGAGAACAGCTCTCCCATCCCCACTGCCGTTGCTCTGAGCCACACAGACGCTGTCAGCAATTTCTTCGATATCATGAACTGTGAAAGATAGACATTGTGATTTTAATGATATTGCTTTTTCTGTAACTTATTAAAAATGGAGCATAATTTATATAAAATTAACAAAATTCTAGGGACATTTCTTATGCATTTGGATATGTGTGATTTTACTAAGTATTTGACAATTAAAACACGTTGGACGGAAAAATAAAAAATTCTTTGAGTAATAAATAAATAAATAAATAAATAGAAAGGATGCAACCATGAATACTTACTAGCCCAATAAATTTCTTCAGAGACGAATCTTTCGCCATGCTGCTTGATTGTATTATCACTAGAAAAAGCAACAGAAAAATGAATATTTTAAAATTTAAGAAAGGTCTACAGAAATATGAACTAATTTTTAATAGTTGAATAATATTGAATAATAGTTGAATAATATTGAATAATAGTCGAATAACTAAAATTTAAAAGTTGAGACTAATCTCTGTAAAAACCCTACTCCCCATGTATAACAGACAGAATAGTAGAAGCTCAGAAGTTGTTGGTATTAAAAAAGTATTACTCATCATAGTGCTTTGTCTTTCCAAAATATGCCACCATTCCATCTTTCTCGATTCTTCTTCTTTTAAACTCCATCAGTTGTTTCTAACATCAGTGTCTAATTTTCTCGCTGTGCGACGAAGCATGCTTATTTACTGGCAGTACATGTAAGTTATTTTTATTAATGTATTTCATTTAATGTAATATTTCAACTCAGTTAATGTTATCAGTATAATTGATACAATAACTGAGATCCGTATTTTTCAGATTACCCGATGCAGATTTTACCTTGATTGTACCTGCTGCCTGAAATTTTCGCATCTGAAATTTTAATCGAGTATCTCATGATATATAATTAACACTCGTGCCAAATTTTAGGTCTATCTGATAACGTTTCTGCTACTGAAATTTCTCTGAAGAGCAGTCTGTACTTGCATTCATGTAAGATAAAATTCCAACTTTAATTTGTAATAGTTTCTTAAGTCTCCTTTTTAAATGATTATTTCCATTTTCTGTTCTAAAAGCAGCAAGACATTTACAATAAACCTTTCTGAAGAGAATAATTTCAAAATTATTCCCCGTTACATGTACTTATATAACGGCAAAAGGGAAATTTTTTTTCATTTTATTAGAATTAAATGTAAATTTTAATTAAACTAATAGCAACAAAGTAAAACCATTCCCCTATATAACAAAAAGGATTATAATCTAAATGTTATTAAAAGGCTCCTGTGGAAATTATTTTGATTAATTGATAGATGGCGCTAGCATTGCGTGTAACGCGATGCGACGTGCCTTCTGAATTTCCATAGACGCTCCACTGGCTGTTCGATAGATGGATGTCTGACGCTTCGCACACTATTTGATTAGGAACACTTCGGTTCCTATTTAAAAGATTTCGATTTTCGATTATGAAAGCATATAGATTTGTTTGTCAACTGAACCACCATGTTTGATTAACGATCTGTAAATATTGTACATATTAAAAGTTACATTTTAAAGTGATTGATGTCGATTTATAGATCTTAGAATATTTTGAAACAGCTCCACCATAAACATTAGATTAATATTTTTAATGCAGGCGATAGCGTGCATAAGAAGTAGAGTTAAAAAACTTTCAATTGTCTTAAATGATAGAAACTTATTTAGCCTTGCTGATGTATAAAAAATCTGCTGCAAAATATCGATAAGAGATCCAGGTAATGACATTTTAAATGATTAAATTAATGCTGTATTAAGCAATGCGTTTTAACCATATCGAAAATTAAAAATGAGTTTTCTTATTCAGTTTTTTTAAAAAACAACATCTATTTTTTTATTCCTTATTTGATTCGATTTTTGATGCGATTACATCGAATGGGGAAATGATAAGGTATTCTTCGAGGTATTAAAAAAGTTTAATTTATTGTTGTATCTACTCTACTGTTGAAACATGTTTCTCTTTTTGAATCGTATAGTAATCTAATTGAAATATCTCGAAAGCCTATTAATTCATATAAAATTTGAGGGGACTGGGTTATTTAGATCACGGCAAAGCTTTTGAAGTTATCTTCCCAAATGAAGGGATTTCTTTCCGAAAAGCTTTCTGAGGAAAACTGGCATTCAAGCTGCTTATGGGGGAGGCAACCGCAAAAAACTCCATGTTCTCTGGGATTTTCACTCATGTTGAAATGCGAATGTTCAGCGATTTTGCCGCCTAGTCACTGGTGTGAGTTAACATTTAAAAGGAACGTTATATTCCATAACAACGTTAAGGCCATATTAAATCCTACCAAATTAAAATAAACATTTTAAAATGCATATCAGAATTTATATCAATATTTTAAATCAACAGGTAGATCAGTTTCATCACATAATATTCTCAGTTCCATTATCTATGGAAAGTTCTACTACTGTTAAGAGGCACTTTTTCCCCCCCTTGACATAAAGAGGATGCTAAAATGCTAAAAATGGGATGCGTCAATGGCCTGTTAGAATCGAACTTTTCCTAACTGTTAATTATTCCTAACTTAAATATGTATACTATTAATTGCTAATAAATCAAAGTTCATTATTAAAAGTATTCGATAGATCTACTTTAGATGTTTATTTTATTTTCTTAGAATCAAATCCTCCTCTCCTGAGCAGAAGACAAGCATGCGGTCACTTGTTTGGTGCTCAACGTTCATGCTAAACGAGAGGCTCTAAAACTCGACTCCTTGGCAGGACAAATAATCGTGATTTTGTTCTGAATATGTCAGGCAAATGAGATACAACATCGTCAATCCTTTGTAGTAAATGAATCAACTGTTTAGTTCGTAGCGCCATCTCTTGATCACTATGAGAAATTATGAATTATGTTAAGAGTCTCTGAATAGTTCTTTTGTTTCGTGCAGTACTTAATGCGTTTGACATTTATAAACTTTTAACTCCAGGACATGCAAAAAGTATTTTTTTTTTATCTTAGATCAAACAAAATGCAAAAATCAAAGAAGTGAGATCAATATTATAGAATGCAGAAGTCAGTGAATAATTTTGAAAGTTGTCATCTTTTGACCAGAGGGTGGTTGTTTTAGTTTGATGCACTCGAAGACAAAGCTTATTACCTTCTTCCAATGATTATCATTCCCTTCGTCTCTGGATCAATCCATGCTTCATCATTTTGAGCCCAAACTCCTGAAGAAGAAAAAAAAAAAAAAAAAAAATTAAGTAAGATGGACGATTTTGTTTGATTTCATCTTTTAACATCGCAAGCATAATTATTTAATCAATAATGTAACACATGACTTAAATCCGTATTAAGACAGTTTTTAACTCTATTATTTATTGCCTTCTTTTGTTCTAACACAATAAATTCTTTTTCTTCTTTTCTCGCGACAGTCCATGCTGGGCCATGGCCTTTCTTAGAACCATCTTCCATTCTGTTCTTTGCTTGGCCAGGGGTAAACTTAGTAGTAAACTTACCAGCTAGTAAACTTAACCATCGGTATAATTAATTAAACATCCCTCTATTTCGTCTTCCCACTGGTTTATAAAAAAGTTTACTTTTCCGTGTCGCCGGCGCAAATCTTGCCAAGCAGACTTTGTTGGCTACAACATACAGTATGCACATAAAAAATGTTAACAAATGTTAGTTCTAAGAATTTTTGATTTTGAAAACCTAAACATTTTAATATGGTTTATAGTTTTGTAAAAAGCCAGTAAATAAAGACAATAAATTTATAAAAAGACATTAATTTAAGAATTTACTATGCTATCGTGGTTCAACATCCTGATTCGCCGGTTCGTATCCCGTGACCATAAGTAATCTCATCTCACGCAAACTACGCTACAAAAATATAATTCTCTCAATAATTATCTACATTAATTTCAAGTTAAATCTTAATTTGGAATACAAGTTTAAATGCAAGAATTATTTAAATTCGTACGAATAGCTTACTCAGAAATTATGTAAAACCGCAGGGCTTTACTTCGCTAGTGCATTCTCATTAGAATTGATGAATTTAGCATTTGCCTTTTCTATATTTTCGCCATCGGGTGAGCGGTGTGATTGCATCCTAACTGACTTAATTACCGACCGCGAATGGCCTTAGGGCATAAAACTGAACTATCTGGTAAAAAGTCTATGTAATTGTTATAAATGTAATTTAGCCATTGAAAGAAACAATCTGATAAGAAATGGCTGCGACTTGTTTTGAAAATGAGGTGTAAAAGATATTCCGTTTGGCATCAGTTGTACCATTATTGGCGACTTTATCGTTTGCGCCGGCAAAACGGAAAAGTACCAAAAGTTTACATATTTAAGAAGAAAAAAACTATGTTAATTGATAAACTTTGATTTTTTTAAAATATCTCCTATTATCGTAGGATTCTGTCAGCTTTCATAGGTGTCAGTCTCTGCAAATTAGTTCTCGACAGCTGTGTTGTTGTTTCAAATGGCTAGACACAGTTTAATGCATTTGTCGGGGAAGGCTAATACCAATTGGTAATTTAGCCGTCAGTCCAATGAATATTGGCCTTCCCCGACGTAATAATAGTACTGAGAACGTTGCCACAGAAGACGACCAATTTTATACTCGCGAGAGAAAGGAAATTCCCTCCCAGTTTTGATAGAGAATATCCCAGGGGGGGATAGATCCGATAATCTTTGTGTACCATACCGCCTGAGAGAAATTTCGGCTCACCAGTATTTTGGCAGCCTTCATGCCGCACGGACGCTGTACACTTGAGATCGAAACCAACTTTTCTCCAAGATTCGAAACCGGAGTCCAACGATAAAGCACTAGCCATAATACTGGTCAAGACGGCCTCATGAGTAATAGTAATGAAATTTTAATTTCTCACTCCACAGGAATATTAATTCTCGTCTTTCGGGTATGTTTGTAACTTTAGATTACTTCAAATTTAACAAGTTTGTAAGTACTCCAATGACTCGGCACTTGACAAACAAAGTAACGATTTAAATTTAGGCAAATACGACCAATAAATCTGTTGCGGTTAATTTTAAAGCATTTGATAATCAGTTCCTTTATATAATTTTTCCTCATTATTCTTATTTCTTTATTATTAATAGATATTTTTTTTCTCTCTTTGAAACTATGTAGCCAACGCTAGGAGATTTTATAATGGAAAGGTTCCCCAGGCAAAGAACGAAAACCGTTCAATTTTACTTTGAAAATTAATTACTCTATTATTTTAATGCAATGACCATAACGCAACGCTTTTTGTGTTCAGAACACGCCTAGTGTTGCAGCCATTTCTTGATTAGTTCAACATTCTTAACAATAAGCAACGAAACTTTTGAGGTAAATTTTTAGCACTCATGTTTTTTTCCAGTTTTCAAATTTGAACTAACTATAGCGATTACCACATTTAAAAATCCATATTTCTTTTTCTGAGTTGCTTAAAAGAAAAAGTTTTACAAATAATATGCAACTGTTGCAAATAATCATGGAGCAATTTAAAGCAATTCAAAAGTTCGGATACGAAATTTTAACAAGAGTTTTCACGAATTTCCTGGAGCACGCCAAGTTAAGGCTAACAATGGCCGATATATACAAGACATTACTTTTTAAAACACAATGTAAAAATATTTGCTTAAATTATATTTAATGTTAAAAATGGCCCAAAATAAATAATGTTGGAAGAAAATGTTTTACTAATTTAAGTTATAATTTTAATTATCTGCCACCCTATGCTTCTATATCTTTCTTGAACCGTCTGCAGAAGATTTCAATAGGGTGAATTCAGTATGTGAATCGATACCAGCTATGATAGTTATCGTCCTTAAAATGACCAACTCCACAGAAGATTAAAATCGTACGAAATGAAGGGTAACTTGCTTAAAGAAGGGTCATCAGATTTTCTTTAAATAATTTAAATATAAATAAGAGTTAAAATAAATTTGAGTTTATGTAGATTCAAATGCATTAGGAAATTACTTTACTCATGAAGATGATTAAAATTAAGTAATTTTAAATTATTTTTATAACAAATATGTTTGATTATGCGTATCTTATCCATGGTTTATCCTTAATTAGTTCTGCTGTTTGAGGCTGTGATGTAGTTTACTCGCAGTAATAATAATACTGAAATAATTAAGACCGGGATAATAATTTAGGTTATTAATCCTGAATGGTGTAAGGTGTCAGCATTGATACAGACGTCATAGTTTTGTTTTAAAATGATAATATTCAACTTATATTTTTAAAGGTAAGCAACTCACCAGGGAATTTAGAAAGGTATGTCTCAGTCATTTTTGAGCCATTGTTATCATTCCAGACACAGACTGGTAAAGATGGTGTTGGTGTGGCCAAGACCAGTTCACCGGTTTTTCCAAACACGCTTTTTCCTGAAAAAAACATAATTTACGTTTTACTTCTTCATAAGGAATGACGAGTTTGGGATTAAAGGTACAATTTGTTTACAGGCTTACCAGAATCATCGAATATCTTAATATCAACTCCAAGAGCAGGACATTGAATTTCGGAGCTGTAGACTGGAGAATTGAGATCGAAGCCGGAAAATACACCAATCACCTCCGTAGCACCTGAAATGTAATTAAAGAATTATATTTAATATTTTAATTAGCTTTAAGCTACGTTATATGGGTGCATTTATAGATTCAGTCTTAAATAAAAACTCGCGTACTCTTAATGCACGCCTCATGATTTTATTTTTGGATAACATATGCACCTGATGAAAAATACCAGCTAGATTGAACTCCAGACTCTAGCTTTTGATTAGAAAAAAAATTAAGCTGATTTTGAATATTCATAAAAAATGAAATCAGTTAAAATAGCTGCTATATCAATGTAAATAATTCACAAGTTTATTAAATATGATGGTACTGAAAATTAAATTGAAATTTAATGGATTTTATGTATATTTTAAAGTAATTTGCTAACTGTTTGCGTAATCAAAACTAATCAAAATTTAAGAATAGCTGGGAATAAGTGAGAATTAAATTTTCCGTGCCATAGATAGGAATTCATTATTTGAGTATGAAAGCGACAGCCGAAATGTCTCAGGTAATGAAAATGAATTAGTCTCAGACTTACGAAAAAGAATGTAATTTATGTTAGAAACTAAAATATGCTTAATAAACATTATAATCAAGTCATGGTTTCAGCGCAACATTTGTATGCTTCGAGTAGTGGAATTTACACTATAAGTAATACACAAAATAAGCTATCTTATGATGAGACAATGAAAAATAAGAAAAAAAAAAGGGTACAATTAAAATTAAAATCTGATCTGTGTGTTCAGATTTCGGTTTAATACTTGAAATTGATTTAAACTGAGCATTTTGATAGGCTACTAATTTAAAAATTAATCCTCATATATCAAGATGCTTTGCATCTTGATATATAAGGATATCATTCCAGATCAACGAGCCAACCATTCCAAGTCAACGAGCTGTTCAAAATAGCAATGTCAAAAAGTAGGCAAAAAGCTTATTATGATATTAACCGGAATGATATCCTTATATATCAAGATGCTTTGCATCTTGATATTATGATATTAACTCATTATTCACAAGTACCCCGAAAATTTTGCAATTACGTAATAAAATTACAAAGAAAAATAATTTAGAACGTAGCTATGCATTTTTTTACTGGTCTGTTGTACATGGGCTTGGAAACAATATTTCTCTTAAGTTAAGGGGGAACAATTTCTGTTTTACCAATTATTTTAATTTTCCCCGAAATTCACTCGTGCAAAATTAAAATCTGATTTAATTTTTTAACAAAATTTAATTAATTTGAATATGATTTGGAAACAACTTATTATTGTAATACAGTTTACTATTTAATTTTTAATTTAACCAGTTTTCTGTTTTTCTTTACAGGGAATATAATGTTTCCGACACGATTTTTATGCAAAACCTACCATATATAACTGAGTGTATTAATCATAAATAAATATATATGTTTCTTGAATTGTACAAACATAGGAGAACAGTCAAAGTTCAAACAAAGCTAGAAGAAGAGTCAGGGTATTTTTACATGAAATTTTCTGAAACATAATCTACCATGAAAATGAATTCATTTTGCATGAATTTACATAGCGGAAACCTAATAAGGTTTTCGGAACTTTACCATATTTTTTTCTGAACATAAATGAGTTCATTTAGATGAATTTTATTTTTTGAAAAATAACCTGATATGCAAAAACACAACTGAGTGTATTAATCATTAATAAGATGCATCTGCTAGTTAAATTGTTCAACCAACAGATACAGCAGAAATTAAAAAGAATTAGAATTTTTTACACTATTTTTCCGGGAGTTTAGCCTACTGTTAATTTTGTTATATAAGAACATAATTGAATGCATTAATCATAAATAAGTATATTTATCTACAGAATTGTTTAAATATGTCTAGCAGATTATGGATTGCTTTATTTAGATTATGGCAAAGCATATGAAGGCTACACTTCTAAGGGATAGTCATGGAGGATTTTCAGAAACACTGGCTGGTACGCATGACGAAGACTACAAAAATTCTCATACAGCCAGATCGTTAGTTCTCGCACTACCTCGAACTACTAATATTAGTGACTTAATCGCTCGAAAGTTCCAGAACAGTGAACTAGGAAAATGCTCAGTTTATTCTTACATTATTTTTGGGAAACATAACCTACCATGTAAAAACCTAATTGAGTGTATAATCATTAATAAGTACATCTATCTGGTGGGGGAATAGCTCAAACGTAGTTGGGAGAATAGAGAGCATTCTTTTGGGTTCGGATTAAAGAGAGGTTAGAGAGGTTTCAGTTTAGAAGTCTTTTTTCAATAATAATAATATACCATTTAAAAAACTTAATTGAACATTTTAATATTAAATAATTATGTTTGTTTGCTGAATTGTTCAAGCATATCTAGCAGAACAGTCAGGGAAACAGAAATGCATTCCACAGATTAAAGTAATTTACTGTGGAATAAAAAAGTGCCTACGATTTTAAGGAAAATAAATTGCACTGGGTGTGTCCAGAGATTGGTTCAGCGTTTGTTATCTCGATGCAACAAATATGGTTCTCTAATGTGTCAAGGTGTTCCACTTCATCGAATGTAAGAAAATATTTCACCGAGGTTGTGAGCTTGCCATGTTTCGCATACATCAGGTTCCTTGGCATTGACTAAAACAGAAATGATACCAACAGGTCAATCAACTTTTATATTTTTGTACGCTATCGAAAACTTCCTTGATTATTTTTCTATGCTGGTTATTCATTTCTTCATTTTATGCATTTTACTATTTCTGTTGCTTACCTCAACTATCAGACTTTAAACACCGTACAATGGACATTGCTAGTTGTCATTCTAGGCATTCAAGTCCTTTACCAGAGTTTCAAAAAACCGAAAAAGCAGTTTTACTTATTTAAATATTTTGAACAGAATCAACCTTGCTTTTTTTGTCTTGTTAAAATGCTGATAAAAATAATGATAGGAATTAAAATGACTAGTTTTTCTTTTATAAACCGTTTCTCCAATGTTGCCGTATGATAAGATTATTTCATATTTTAACTTACTGGTGACTTTAAACGCCAACACCAAGATTACGATGTTAAAAATTATTCAAAAAAATTTAAAGCAAAATAATATTGAATTCGCGTTTATTGCGAGCTAGGGATCAAGGGAAGAGAATGCTTTTGAAATGTTCATTATGTGGAATTACAGTCAACTACCGATTAACCGGACAAATGCTGGTGATGACGTCCACTACGTTCACGATTAATTCGAGAATAGCTGAAAAATACAAGAAAGAAGAAGAAGCAGAAAAAATGCTGTTAACCATTTGCATGCATTATGTAGCAATTTAACGTGGAGTATAAATTCATTTGGTTGCGTAAATTATATTATTATCAACTTACGATTAAATGATGTAATACTGAAGATGATGTTCCATAGACATCTACGGCGTTTCAGTTTCTGGCTTCATAAAGGTCATGGCAGAAACCATCCTAGTGGCGGCATGCACGCATGCAATAGCATATAAATTTGTATAGTGATATACGATTTTCTCATACTTTTCGCATATATATATATATATATGTTAATTTAAATGCAATATTAACCAATGATTAAACTAAAACCCAGTAATTATAAGCTTCATGCAACAGCCTCAAAAAATATCCTTAGTTAATTTTTTAAAAAGGAATTTGAGGCATTAATTATCAGGTGTGGTGTGGTGTATTTAATTATGGCAAAAACACACTAGGACTATCTGCCTAAGGGGAGGGATGCCTTCGTGGAGGACTTTCTAAGGGAAACTGGCTCGAGTTTGCATATGCTATGATTAAATACTTATAGCTCGTTTTACTGAACAGCATTATTATTGCTAGTTTTTACTGTGCTAGAACTAGAGATGAACATGAGCTATAGTTTACTGAAAAAAAAATGAATAACGCTACAAACATTTCATCACATTGTTAAGATGCAGATACGTCTATTTTTATATGAACTTAAAAACTGACTTTTCAGGGTAGTTTCGCTTGGAACTTGGTAAACTGCTTTCAGCTTCATTTAGTGTTCAACGCTATTTCCCAAAGGACAAGATTTAAATTACAGCTGCTGTAAGCAAACCATTTAAAAGAAACATTAAATAGGAATAATTTCTAATTCTGACATGTTCTGTAATTAAATAAACTTTTTATTGTGCACTTAAATTCAAATGTCATATATAACAAGTCTAAGCTTGTAAGGATCTTAAGTTTTACTAACGTTTATTTTATTTTAAATCTTTACTATCACTTCTTATTTTCTACTTCCGGCCAGAATTAAAAGCTTTAACTTATTTATGCAAATTTGTCTGGCGAACGCCAAGTACTTAAGTTGTGGCTTTTTGCCAAGCAAAGGAGAAGAAGGAGTTAGTAGAAGCAGGCCGCTTGCCTTAGCAGTTTTACTCGGTTGCTGGTTGCCTTCCAGGCCAGAGGTTTAATCCTCTTGATAATTTTAAACGTATTGTAGTGTTAACAGTTCTCTGTACTACATACGGCTTCCTGTTAATATACGGCCAATCTTCTCGGAGGCCCTTGTTTGTTTTTCCAAAGTCAAGTTAGAGTTTAGTTAATATTTTTATATTCTTACGTTCAGACCACAAGTGGTTGGTCTCTGTATTCCGAAGTCCGGAAATCATTGTAAAGAGTGAAAAATAAAGGGTTTCGTGTACTCTTCCTGTGTATCTTGTCTATTTCCCACATTTATTGAACATAGCTTTAGTAAGCTCCCTGTTCCGAGTCAGGTTTTTGAATGTTCCCAAAGCAAGTAAGGAGAAACACTGAACCTGATAAGCTTTATATTAATGGTTATGATTAAGGGTTATAGTAATTGTTTAAAGAATGGGAAGCTGTTTATTAATTGTAAAAAGTCCCGTAATATGTAATATTCCCTTAATGTATCCCATTGATAATTAAGGGAAGTGATTCTGTAATAAATTACCAAGCTTCTAGATTACAGGATTTTGATTTATTGCTAGACTATTTTGATTTATTGCTATTAATTGCTTACTCATTAGTGAATGACATAAGAATGTAGTTGTGGAGAGCTAAAACGAATAATTTCTATTAGTGCGGTTGCTATCCGACAATAATTACGCCTGGACACATCTCTAGACTGTATATAAGTTTGTTACATATATATGAAATATGCTTTATTAACAGTCAGCTTTGTTATTTGTTTTCTTTATGCCTTACTTCATGAAATTCTCCCTCAGACGAGAGGTCTACGTAAACTGAAAGGCAATTAAGTTAAAACTAGGATGTAATCTTAATCAGCATTCTGAGTAGAAGTTCACCACTATATTACTGCTTGCAGTAAGCAGCCTCCCACCAGAGTAGAGGGTTTGAACGTTGGATAAGGGTAAAAAGTTAATCATTCTGTCAGATCTAATGGTGTTGCAATTTAGATTAGGATTTTGTTGGAATTGCGATCCAATCAATAACTAGCTAGGTTGCGAATTCCTATATTCTCTAGTCGACGAGAAGATAAAATATTTCGTTACTATTGCATTAGCACAAGTTCTATGTTAGAATTTTTTTACCTTTGAGTTTTATCTTGTACTTCATAGTGAGTATTAAATGAGGTTATTACTCGCCAAGCTTTAGGATTGGATTGGATTGGATTGGATTATTCAATTATGGCAAAGCACACGAGGGCTATCTGCCTAAAGGGAGGGATGCCTTCGTGGAGGACTTTCTAAGGGAAGCTGGCTCGTATACACGTTACACATGAAAATGCCCATGCAGCCAGCCCGTTCGCGGGATACAAACCTCGAATCAAACTACCAGTGTTCAGCGTCTTTACCGCTCGGCCGCTGGTGGGCCTTGCCAAGCTTTAGAATTAACTTTTAAAGATAAACCGTTAGAATACATAATAAGTAGTTTTCGTTAACAGTCACTTTTTAGATGTTAGGTTCAAGAAAAATCTTTGGTGGTTCAGGGGTGTCACCTCAGAAGATGAAATTAGATTATCTTGTACACGCCAACCTTACCATCACCCGCTTGAAAAAACTTTCGGATTGAAAAATTTTGAGTTTTTTCATATCAGAAACATCATACAATTCGCAAACGCTCATGCCTTATGCTTTATAAGGGATTCATATTTGACCACTAGACAGCCTCTGCTAGCTGTCTTATTGAATGAAGCGTTTAGACGTTTTCTTTGGCCACAATTATACATGCTGTTTTGCCAGAAGATATTTGGCAAATATAGAAGTGCTGCGATGAAATTTGCGTCAGCGGCTGTTAATGCTAACAGTAACCAAAGCATATGCTGAGGATGATTTTGCTTAATAACAAAGAAACTTTGTAACTATCTCTACCATTTAGCTCAGATGCAAATTCATTCATTGCTAAGTTGGTTTAAGACGTTTAAGTCTTTTTCTAATCGTCTTGACGTTTAAAGCCTACTATTTTTTTTTGGTCATTGGACACAAGACAGATACGATGACTGTTTAAAATAAATACGTTGTTATAATCCAAAGAATGGGTTATGCCACTTTTCAAAATCCATGCCCAGCGATTGAGGAAATCTTGCATGGAAAGATTTGTTACGCATTAACTCAATTAACGTCATCGATTAGTTTGAAAGTTTTGTTTTTACTTACCGAGTTTTAATCATTTACTCATGGTTAGGATTTAGAACTGTTGATTTGCCTTGTTTGTAGTTTAGATATGCGTTTTCCATTTGATAATAAATATTCATCTTTAATTGCAGACAAAGAAATAATTTAAAATATTTTTCTTACCAGGTAACACATTAATGCTCAATAAATTAAATTTAAAAGGCTAGCGTGATGTAATTATTAATCCTGTGATTTTCACAGGGCGATCACAAGGGTATTGAACATTCAAGTAAATAATTTATTCCCATATTTCATGTAAACATAAACTTAGTATAACTCATAGTCATATAATAGTAGCCCATGCAAAAGTTTGGAAACCATCTTAGTGTAATAAGCAGTAAAATATGCATTTGAAGAATGTTTGAAATTGGCCAAAATATGACCTTAGATTGCACTTGATTTTATAGAAAAAATACCAAAGGAAATTTTTCAGGCAAGCTTACCGTATAAACACCCAACGAGGACATCAGGTTTCACCTTTTGAAGGATAAAATCTACGTTCTGGAGCTTTACGGGACTGGCTCCAATAGCCAAGATTTTCAAGTGCTCCAATTTGCAGTCAGGGCCTGCAAGAAATTATGGAATATTATCAAAATTTGAGTTAACACATTATCATTCTCATAAGATACATCTATAAGAATAGTAGAGGTAGACTTGCATTAACTCATTCTTACTGCCATATGGCATATCTACAAAAAGAGTAGAACCTAATATCATCTATCTAGACTAGCGTTAACTTGTCTTTATTGCCATAAGTTATATCTCTAAGAATAGTAGAATCAATATTATCTAAACTTACGTTAAGATATTCTAATTACTGCATCTATAAGTACAAAAGAATTCAGTGTTACCTAAGCTTGACGTTAACACATTCTTATTGCTAAGAGGTATATCTAGAAGAACAGTACAACTCACTGCTTTCTTAATTTGCGAAAACACGTGTTTACTGCCATAACGTACCACAAGAATAGTATTTAATTCTATTTAGATTTGCGTTAGCATATTGCCGTAAGGGTATCTATAAGAACAGTAGAGCTCAATGTTAACTAATTAAGGTAAACCTAAAATAACAGTGGAACTCAATTTTATATAAACTTGGGTTAATACAGTGAGTAAAAAAAGTGTTGGTAATTACCTATAATTGGTGATATTACCTAACAAGGGAAATGCTTGTCCATTTTAGCTGGACATAACGAACTCAGGAGGTAGTAAACACACAAATCTAACGTAACTTTCAATTTAATATGCCTTTTACTCAAAATATACAATAAAAACGTAAATTTGCATGTCAAAAAAGTATTGGCAAAGTTCTAACTGCTACGCAAATTTTGCTATGTTGAGGTCCTGTGTTTAGACTGATAAGAAACCCTGGTAATATAAAGTCTGCAGTGTTACTTCAAAACTTTTAAAACCTTATTTTGCAAACAAAAGAAAATGCTGCACGAATCTAGTTTCAACTGAACAGAAATTAATTATGTGTTTTGTTTTACAAATGGCTAAATCTATGGCTTATGCGAATACATTGATTTTACTGTTTTATTTACCTGAAACAAAAATAGTTTTGTCTTTTGGCAAAACTAGAAATAATTTTACTATTTCTTTTTTCCACAAACTGAGTATTTATGGTCTGCCTCAAGCAAATATAAATATTTAATATTTTATAATTATATAATTTATGTTGAAATAAATACGGTTAATGGAAGAACGAAGTTTCGTCACTTACTACATTACAGTGGCTATATACTGAGTCGGTGCATAAGTTCAAAGCTTTTGTCAAGGTTGACAAAACTGCATTACCAAGAATTTGTCGTCCGTTATTCCACTGTTATTGCTCATTTTGTAGTTTTTCGCTTGTGAAATATAATGTATTCTAATTATTAGTACATTCAGACGAAAAATTATGGAGTGTCGAATGTAATAAATTGAGCAAGAAATCTTTAAATTTAAATTGCGTCTAAAATCCAGATAAGAATGAGGAGTTATGATCACTAATTCATATTAGTTGTTTAGAAAATTAAAGTTCTTGTAGCAATTTTTGTGATGTTTAGTGTTCTTACACCTTTTGATCTTAGAATTTTAACGATAACTTCTCTGGATTTCCTTTTAGTGAGTAAAAAGATGTCTCAAAGTATTCAGAAATAAATCTTATGAAACGCATTTTGATAACCTAAAAGGACATACTTGGTATAATTTCTTCCTTTTCAAAGGTGTCTATTATGCTGGTTACAAGAAAGGCAAAAGCTACTTTATAATGATCCATTATGTCCCAGAAGGCTGTCTTAGAAAGAAAAACTGGAAGGCCATCATAAAGCAGTAATGTTGTTCCGAGAGACAAGTTGCCAACGTATAGGTTCCAGAGATTCCATCCCACCTACAAGTATCGAATTTATGTATTAACCTCTTCTCGGCTGCAGTTTTCAATAGTATGTAAAATGATGTATAAATTCAACACTCTTCGTACTTACCGGTTGCATAGCCAGAGTGACATCTCCGCGTTTAAGGTCGCAGTGAAGTCCAAAATCTCTCATGAGAGGCAAAAAAGTCTTGAAATAGAAAGTTTTAATTAGTGTTAGAAATGCGAATTTAAGAACAATAAGTTTTCACCTACTCACTTTTTAAAAATGCATGAATCGAGTCAATAAATAAATCTGATGAATACTATTAATAACGAAAATCAATAAAAATAAAGGCACTCTAAATTTAAGAGCATGTGAACATCTTTTTCAAAATTTAGCTCCTTGGTGCGAGCTAATAATAATCAGCAATGTAAATACAACTCAAAAAATGGGAATCAATGCTATGGAGTTATCACAGTTTTAAAACATAATGGTTTTAAACCTTGGTTGACTGCTTGCTTATTTGACTGAAATTTATTATTTAACTATAATAAATAAACAGATATTTGCGGAAAAGCAGGGCCTTAGATAAAATCAATTTCTCAATCCTCTTTTTAAAAGTATTTAACAGTAAAAGAAGAAAAGCATTTGTATAAGACAGTGCGTTGTGGCGCTTTGGAGTGCCGTGGCTGGATTACAGGGGCACATTGAAATGTTCCAATATGATCACAGAAATATTACTTAGACCATGTAGATTTAGAATTGCACTATAGAAGCGTTGGTAGATAATAGGAAGAACATTGCTTTGAAAACTGTTGTAATAATTTCTGAAAAGTAGCTATCAGCTTAGCAATTGTTTATCGACAAGTTCACTTGGCATCGATTCCTCCTAGCACCAAATTCGTTTGAATAATGTTAGCGCCAACAAATCCGTTACTTTAAAAAAAAAAAAAAAAAAAAAAAAAAGATGGCTTTGCGACAGTACAATTAAACGCAAAATTTCTCAGCAGGGAGTCTATGCGCGATGACATATATACAGAGCCGTGTTTTTGGCTGTCGCTGAGAAAAAGAAATGCTGAACAAGAAATGAGGTGGCTAAATCCATTCCAAAATCCAGATTATAAAAGAAACTGGAAAAAGGATCATCTTTTATTTAATTGAGATCCACTTATTTTGTGATACGATTGCTCAAAATACGTAACCTTGCACAAACACACACAAATGGGACAGTTCTATATGAACTGCCAGTCGACGAAATTTAACTTGCGTTTTTCATGTCTCGAAAGCGCGACTTAGGTTATATATTAAATTTATATGTAGCCCTGTTTAAACCTAGGTATTTTGACACGAAATCGGACTTTTTCTGAAAAGACATAACCGATTTTTTCCATATTTCAATTCTGCAGCTCAAGTTATGCCAAAGTGGCAAGATTAAAAAAATCGTAGGAGTAGTTTTTGAAGCATTAGCTGTCAAAATCTTTCGCTCAAATGTTAATTGAATTTGGTATACACTTACTAACATCTCTTTTGTTAAACTTACTTAATTACTTCTTTCACAGTTCGAAATTTAGGCTCAGTCCAAATGAAATTCGCAGATGCTTTTTGATTTACTTTCAAATTTGTATTTTTTAGTAAATTTTAGAGCTTTTTCGAAAAAATTTTGAATTATGACCTGTAAAAGTTATACTATCATCTTAAAGTAGATGTATTTCTAGGCATACCTGCAAAAAATTAAGAGTTTTTATTTTTCAAATTTCCAAAGATATGTGTGAATTTATATATTGGCGCGTTCTGAAATTTGACATATATTTTAGAAGTGATAATAACCCCTAATGTGCTTTTTACACACTTTGTTAAAATTATTTGAAAGAATGAACGGTGTCCGTTTTTTTCCTGTTGTGCACAATGAAAAAAAGGAAAGAAAGGAAGATAGGTTATTATAAATTAAGAATTTCGCCAAGTGAATTATTCTCGGCACAAACTGAAAAAAGTGCGTTAAGATAAATTTCTGAATTTCTCCCTAATTTCTCACTAAATTGTACAAAATTTAATATTTGAGCATAATTTGAGCCGCAGAATCGAAATATGGAAAAAATAGGTAAGTAATTTCAGAAAAGTCTCATTTTGTGCCAAAATTCCTATGTTAGAAAAATGCTATACACAAATCTGAAACATATGTCCAACGTCGAGCTATCGAGACATGAAAAGCGCAAGTTAAATTTTGTCAGTAGAACGGGAGATCCCATTTTTGCTTTGTGCAGAGTGTATTTATTTAAAGAAAGTGACAAACAACACGAGTCGTCGTCAGCTTTAACTTTATAAGACTATAAGTTTAAAAGGTTCAACAGAACTTTTCTCATCAGCTGGGAGAGTGAAAATGATGACTGAGAAATTTGTGCTCGAGAAATTTGTTTGAGTTATTTTTCTTTACGTTTCGGTCAATAGATGGCACTAGTGACTTTGTTTAACATCATTATATTTAGCTAAAATCCTTTCGAATTTGCGTCTTCTTCTCACATAGGCATACGTTTTTCTGACGTTATTTCACTCCTGTAGCTGGAGAAGATTCTGTTTGTCCTTCGACACTACAGTCCAGCAAATTTACTGAAGTTTACTGATTATTATTGCTCATTATTAATATTTTAAAATTTTTTGTATGACATTTTCTTTTCTAGCTTATATAACACTTTTTTTTAACAATTTGTTTTTGAAACAAATACTGACTCCATTTATTTTTTTGAATTTAACTAACTCAACACCAACCGAACTTAATTGTTAGATAGGCTATAAGTTATTTATCCCGTCTTCTTAGCATTCTTTTGTGGTGTAATGATCAGCACGCTCGGCGCGTATTCGAGACATCCGTGGTTCGATTCCCGGGGAAGGCAATGCTAATTTTTCTCGTCTCTTACTTTAAAAAAATACTTAATGTCTGTACAAGGCTTAGGTTTTGACTTTGAGAGCTCTGGGAATTTTCTGATATATCAAGTCCACTCTGAACCGAATTGCTTGGGAACCACTAGTACAGGGAATAAAGTAAGCTTCCGAAGATATTAACAACCTCAATGTTACTAGGATTTGCATTTAGGTTTCATTTATAACTCACCCCTGCAGAATGAACCAATCCTTTGGGTAAACCTGTAGTGCCTGAAGTAAAGTTGATGAATATAGGATAATCAAAGGGAAGCTGCATGAACTCCAAATCTGGAACTTCTCCATTTGGTCCTCGACCTTTCTCCAACAGTTCATCCAAAAAGCAACTGAAATGAGTGTTATAATGAGCTGTTTTTAAAATAATACTTATGCTAGTAACAAAGAAAATATATATGTTGATAATGCTTTAATTATGTTAAGGTATTCTTTTTACTTACCTGTTTCTGATGTGGCTGATTTCCTTCAACTTTGAGCTTTCTCTTGAAGGTACGATGATTACTTTTTCGATCGATTCATTAGCTGTAAATTTAAAGGTAATTATTACATTTGTGTTTTGTTATTTTAACTATGAATAAGCTTCTTAAATAAAAAACGTCCCGTAACTCATTTGTTATTTTCTTATCAATTTTATCTTCTTCAATGCTTTATTTTTGGACATTTATAGGTTCTTTTTTGAAAGTGCTTTTCTTTAAAAATGATATTTACATGTAATCTTTGATTCTTTGACGGCAAATTCTTACAATAATTATTATTATTACAATTTATGAAAAATTACTTCTGTTTTGTTACAACAGATATTTGTTAACAGAAATGTTCATTTATATATGTTTAGTTTCTTTGTCTAAATTTCTTAGCATTTCATTTATAAATTCCTACTGAGCTTATGTATAAGATTTAGTCTTGGGATCAGTCAATACTTTAGCAGTTTCAGTAACTACAGTTACTTATTCTGAAATTTCAAGTTCAATTAATTCATAAAAATCTCTACATCATTTAATTTTTACTACAAGTATATTCAGAGTACATTAGTTTCACAATTCAAATACAAATATCTTGCATTACTTTTCTCCTCTCATTTATGGAATTTCCAAAGCTGCATTATATATCTCATCATATTATGCAGGTATTAATCGCCGATTACTTTCTGAACACTGACCAATATTATAAGAAGGATTTATTTCATTATAAAATTTGATTGGTTTACGAAAGAGAATTCCATAGCATTATTTCAAATACGTGGATGTGTCTTACAACTTTGTTAACATTTCAGTTATAAATTTATTAACGTAAAAAGAAAACATTTAATATCTATTATGTATTATCAATATAAAAAAGAACTAGAATGTTACACATATCTGTCTCAGGCTACTGGAATGCTTTTTTTTGTCATAGTTTTAGATCATTTATCGAAACCAAAGAATCGAAGAAAATTGTTTTTAAAATTATGCTTGAACTAGTTGTTAAAATATTAAAAATATACGAATAGATACATCTAGTATATTTTTGAAATAGATGAGTTATAGGTAAAGAAACGATTCTCACCATTAACAATTTCTGGTAGACTTTCCAAGATATTAATCTCTTCTCTGTTAAACTGAAATCTGTCAACTGTCAGAAGGAACTTTGGATTCATAATTCCCATTATTGTTGCCACTGCCTATGTGTATAAAATGTATAATTAATTAACTCAGTTAAGCGAAATATAGATTAGAGTAAAAATCTAGATTAAATTTAACATGAACATACGTTATGTTTGCATGTGCAAATGATTACTTTCCCAGAATGTGGTTCGTAATCTAGCAATGAGCAGGAACAAAATATTTTTGTGGATAGCGAACAGTTTCGAAGATCTGCTTTTATTTTGACATAAATCAATGTTAATTTAATTGCATTTGTTAGCTAACTTATAACTGTTATTTAATTGTCAGTAGTGGTCATGGTATACATTTATTTGTTATTATTTCATTGCTACACAGTCTTCTTTTAGAACTCTTATATATATATATATATATATATGTAGATACATATGAAATACATATATGTGTATATAATAATTGTATTGTGTGTATATATAATAACTTGTATTCGCACTAAATGGATTTAAGTTCATACAACATTATGTGTATATATATGTATACACATATATGAAATACATATATATATATATATACATATATATATATCAATAAAGATCTGTCAATCGAGAAGACAAATAAATGTGGATTAGCCATTTCCTCAGGAAGGCGATTTCCATGTTCCATTGCAACTCCTTGTTGTGACCCTCAAGTAGAGGAAGAAAATGTTTTCAGATTTTGCCAAATTTTCCATCTGATTTCCAGGTGGGGTATTAGGTTGGAGAAAGGAAACTTTGTCACGATAGAGTGCACCAAATGTGAGGAGATTCCAAGTAGGCTCAAGGGTAGAGACATTAGATTCTGAAAACAGAAAACGTGAAAAGTGATTATATCTCCAACGGGATGTGAACCACAGATCTTCCAAATACTGGCTGGGAGTGCTACGAATTTTATCGCAAAAGACTCACTGAGAAATGCGACCATTCTTCATAGTAACAGCGAAACTTTTCCTTTTCATTTTTAATCTTTACAGTATTAGATTTTCAAGAGCAGTTTTCTAACCACCTTGCTTCTAAACACTCTCTCACTTCCATTAGGACCCACAGTGGCTTTACAGATCTTAGCGGCTACCGATGGGCGGTATCGCCGCCGATGGGAAACTACGTATTAGAATACGGGCATATTTAGTGATCGAACAATCTGTATTTATCATAAACAATCTGCTTCAAAATGGAGGCTCATAATTTTTGGTTCAGAAATTTCAACAGCTTTTTCTGCGAGACAAAAGAAATATAAGCTAGAAGAAGCAAATGGAGTTTTATTGATTTTGTTTTAAGTTTTTATGGGTATATATTTCTCAAATGGCACGAGTAATGTTAATATGAGCTACCAATAAGAAACAATTAGTCCATTTGATTACGGCAAAGCACGCGAAAGCCATCTGTCTAAGGGGAGGGATGCCTTCATGGAGGAATTTATAAGCGAAACTGGTTCATATCCGCATTATATAGTGCGTCCGTAAAATAATGGTGCACTTTTATTCGGTCACATAAAAGCAATAAAACAAGTTAGGAATGTGAATTCATTACCAAATTCAATTGAATTCATTACCAAACAAAAGAATAACTCTCCAAATTTTCCGTAGTATTGTAAGGATCTTAAGTTTTACTAACGTTTATTTTATTTTAAATCTTTACTATCACTTCTTATTTTCTACTTCCGGCCAGAATTATAAGCGTGAAGGAGTTTATGCAAAGTTGTCTGGCGAACGCCAAGTATTTAAGTGTGGCCTTTTTGCCAAGCAGAAGAGAGGAAGCCGTGAGTTCGAAGCAGGCCGCTTACCTTAGAAGTTACGCAGTTGCTACTTTGCCTTCCAGGCCAGAGGTTTTAATCCTCTTGATAAATTAAACGTATTGTAGTGTTCACAGTCTCTGTGCTACATACGCTTTCTGTTATTATAAGGCCAATCTTATTCTAAAGTTAAATTAGAGTTTAGTTTTATTTTGATATCTTTTAAGTTAGACCCCGAGTGGAGGGTCATTGTATTCCGAAGTACGGAAGTCATTGTACATAAATAAAGAAAAAAATAAAGGGTTTTGTATACCCTTCGTCTGTATCCTGTCTACTTACTACAATTAGTGAACATAGCTTTAGTAAGCTCTCTGTTCTAGTCAGGTCATTTTATGTTTTCCGAAGAAGGTTAGAAGAAACATTGAACCTGATAGTGGCGCCCGACGAAGAATAACCATGGCCGAGTTTCAAGAAGAACCTGTGCTGCCTGCAGAAACAGCTCAGAATCCAGAAATGCCAGCTGCCGCCCTGGAAGGATTTGGGTACATTGTCCAGACCATGCGCGCTTCGATGAAACCAGAAGCAACGCTTTAATGGAAACTCACCAGGTAACCAGTTTTTTTTGGAAAAAATTGGATGACCACTTCATGCTCTACCCCGTGCACGAGTTTCAAAAAGTTACCTTAGCTACCAGCGCTTTGAGGGGCCAAGAGCGCTTAACTGGTTCAAATGTATCGGCAGAAGTCTCTTGGGTCAAGCAGGAAGTCCCACCTATACTTACGAAAATTTCAAGACTGCCCTACTAAAAGCCTTCCCTGTTGTAAGGGATCGTGCGAAATTAGAAACAGAACTTTTCAGTATATATCAACAAGAATGGAAAACCTCTCGAGCTTTATTTTAAGAAAAATTCACGTTTTCAAGCTCTTGTATGGAAACCGTCCGGATCCTGAAATAATTCAAGTGATTTTGCCGAGGTTACTACCCCAAGTGCAAGACTTTATTGAATTGAGAAATCCGACTACACTGGAAAAATTATTTGAGCTAGCAATCCAGTTTGAAAGTAGAAGAACGGCGGACGTCGAAAGAAGACGCCAATATCAACAGCGAAACCAAATTTGGTACGCCAAGACTACAGCAAACTCAAGCACATGGCTACGGAGAAAAAGCGAATCAGTGGGCAAGGAAACCCGAGCATTCAAAAACAGCCGGCGAACGTCGACAGTTCAATAGCAACCCAGGAAAAAAGTCTCAAGGCCAGTGGAGAAAAGAAAGAAAGGAAAACCGAAAGGAAAATAATTTAAACTAAAACGGATTTCTGCTGACGAGAGGGTGCGGAAATCCGAAGGCCACGAAAACCCCTCTTCCTACAAGTTAAATACAGTAATGGTGAAAAATTTAACTCTTCCGAAGATTGAAGTCTTGGTAAATAATATCCCGGCCACCGCACTCCTGGATACCGGCGCGCAGTGTTCCTGTGTGGCAGAAGTCTTTTTTAGAAAGTATTTTCGCAAATACCGCATATATAATGCGGATAATACAACAGTATTAGCGGCGCAAGGAGAACAATGTAAGTGCGTAGGTAGGTAAAGTACCTTTGTACATCCGTATCAAGGACGAACAAGTAAAGGTGATGTTTTTTATAGTAAAGAATTTGCAAGCACACTTAATACTAGGAATAGACTTTCTTTCAGACGCACAAGCTACACTGGATTTTAATGAAGCGTCTCTTAAGCTGACGATGAAACCAGTGCGTGTAGAAAAGGTTGAACCGCCAAGGTTAAATCTCGACCACCTGCCTAATGACGAGCAAGATAGAATCCGACAAGTGGTAAGTGAATTTGCTTCCTTATTTAGTGATATTCCAGGATTTACCCAGGTTACTAACCATAGTATTGACACCGGAGATGCATTGCCCGGTTCGTCAAAAACCATACCGGTTATGATAAGAATAAGGAAAAAATTATAGAATGGCATATTACCGATATGCTACGTAAAAAGATCGTAACGCCTATCTCAAGTAGTTATGCTAGTCCGGTGGTTTTATGTAAGAAAAATAATGATTATCCTTTGGAGCATCCAAAAAGGTGGAGATTCGCTATTGATTACCGTAAATTAAATTCCATAACGAAATATCCGGTATATCCGTTACCGATTATAGAAGAAAAGAAGAAATTTTAAGGAACATAAAATCAACCAAATTTATGACGACTTTAGACTTAACGAATGGTTATTTTCAAATAGGGATCAGGCCTGAGGACGTGCCTAAGACTGCTTTTATAAACCAAGTCTGGCACTTATGCATTTTTGCGAATGCCGTTTGGCCTTTCAGGCGCCCCAGCAACATTTCAGCGATGCATGGACATTGTGTTAAGACCTGTTCTCGGAAAGTCCACATTTATCTATTTAGACGATATCATTATTACTAGTGATAATCTCGACCAACATGTACAGGATTTAAGACAGGTGTTTTCTTTATTAAATGAGGCCGGTCTAAAAGTTAATGTCGAAAAATGCAAATTTGCAGCCCCTGAATTAAAATATTTAGGTTACAAAATATCTCAAAAAGGGATCGAGACAGATGAATCAAAAAAATAATCGCTGTACAAAAGTATCCGACTCCAAACACGGCAAAGAAGCTCTCTTCTTTTCTAGGACTTTGTTCATATTATAGGTCCTTTATAAAAGATTTTGCGGCTATCGCTGAGCCATTGTTAAAATTAAAAAGGAAAAAGGCAAGATTCTCGTGGACGGCCGAAGCCGAAGCCAATAGTGCTTTCGAAAAATTAAAACAAGCATTAACGCAAGCCCCTGTGTTGAAATTTCCTGAAAAAGATGATGAAATTTAGAAATTTCAGCGGATGCTTCGGATTATGCGGTAGGAGCGGTACTTTCGCAAAATCAGCAGCCAGTGGCATTTTTTAGCCGAACTTTAAATCAAACACAAAGAAACTATTCCGCGACCGAGAGAGAGGCACTTGCAGTTCTGTTAGCAGTGCAAAAGTTCCGAGTCTATTTTGGAAAGGCGCCGATAACAGTATATTCTGATCATGCGGCGGTAACTAGATTGTACTCTGGAAAAAATTTATCCCCAAGGTTAATAAGATGGGCACTCAAGCTGCAAGAATATAATCTGGTAATCAAGCATACCCCCGGAAAGGAAAATATCGTAGCAGATGCCCTGTCACGAATTAAATTAGACGAACAGGGTAATACCGTAAAAGTTGCAATGCTGACAGCGTGTACAATAAATTCCCGAGAAACTGTAATAACCGAACTGGGTAAGGATCCTGAGTTTGGAAGTATTTA